TTGTTCCCTGGTCTGGGTCTTTTATATCAAACACCATGAGAAAATGTCAGAAGGAAATTTTTTCAATGAAATTTTGAGTTGAATAGTGTATTCCAAATGTTTGTTGCCTGGAATTCATTTGTAACTGAGAAAAAAATTTTCAATTAACAGAATAAAATTGAGTTTTTTGGTGTTAGAGTTGTAAACATTTTAACACATGTATAGAATTATGTCACCAGCACACCACAGTCATGATATAAAACAGTTTTATCACCCCCAAAAAACTCGCTCCTGCTGCTTAGCCTCTTCACATTCCCAATCCCTGGCAACTACTAATCTGTTTTTTGTTGCTATAGTTTTGCCTTTTTCAGTATGTAGTATAAATGGAATCATTCAATAACTTCTTTCAGAGTTGCCATTTTCACTCAGCATAGTATCTTTGAGATCCATCCACGTAGTGTGTATATCAATAGTTCCCTTTTTATTTCTGAGTAGTATTTCATGGTACGGATGCCCCACAGTTGGTTATTCTTGTTCATGCTGTTTCTCAGTTGTTAAAACAGATACTGCCTTTTTTTATTGTTGGAATTTAGAATTGTCTAGTGCCATAGGTGTTTTTGAAGAAAACTTTATCTTATTTTTTTTTGGCTGAACAAAATATAAACTGGAATATAATTAAAAGCACAGCAAAGAGTAAATACATTTTTACCTACCAAATAAGAGTGACGGGCAGCTCATCTGAATTAAAGCAAGAATTTATAAGGCTATATCATCCGAGAACTATATGGAAATTGTTAAACAAATTTTTAACTACATAGGTTTTGGAGCAAAATCTCATTTTTCCAGAATAGTTCAGGAAGTTGTTTTATTAAATATTCTGGGTATCTGTTAAGTAGCTTGTATATTTACATAGGTTAGCCAGTTTTCCAATAATTAGAATACAGTAAAGTCATTTAGTGCCAAAATGCTATTGAATATAATTTCATCCTTTTCAGATGGCTTAGGAAGTATCACAAGATCTTAAATAGGAATTGTCTTTTGCTAGATCATTTATCGTTATATATCATCCTGTGCATAGAAGAAAAGCATGGTTATATGAGCTTTCTGGCTGTTTGTAATGTAGAAAATACTTTTATTGTCTATAGTAGTTGTTGCAATTAATACACAAATGCTAACTGATAATAACATCCAAGAGCCCTTCCCCCCAAAAAATAAGTCTTAAAAATAAGAAAAAAGATTTTTGAATTTTAACCTTTTGTCAGGAAGACTCCTTCACATTTTTTAATTGGGAAATGGCTTAATCAAAGAGTGTTTTTAGAGATCTAACAGTGATAGACTGGACAGACTGATGCCAGGGGGAGCAGATGGGCATCAGGGCAGGCTGTACAGCATGAGTAAGGTGGTGACAATGAGATCAGAAATGAAAGGACAGAGCAAGAACTATTTTGAATGAAGAAATTATGTTCCTCACTAACTGACAAGATAAGAGATTAAATTGGGGAATCATCTAAGATGGTTCTGAGACTAGAAAAATGGTGGTAGAAATAGAGAAATAACTTGCTTAGGGAGAATGAGATTGTAAATGAGGCAGTTGAGTCTGGTGTGATTTTGGTCATTGGTGATCTTGGAAAAAAGCAGTGTCAGTGAAACAAGGGGACTGAAAACTACATTAAAATTAAGACCTTCTGCCTTGAGTTATCATTCACGTATTTGAGTCCAGCAAAAGGATATAGGATTAATATGTGTTCATTTTAATTTCCTGACCTTATTTTGCAGAAGTGACAAAAGTCCTCATAAATCTTCATTTGTTGATCTTTGTTATTCACAGTAAATAGTGGCAACAGAACTCTAACAAGAATTTACATTTTTATTTTTTGTTTTAAATATCACAGTGTTCTGTTTATAGATAAGAGTACATGTATTATGTATAAAATGGTGTATAAAGTAAAATTTCCTGGAGTAGGGATAGAGTCATCTTCTTAATACCATTTTAAGTGGATTTTTAAGATTTTGAACATTAGGACGCCTGGGTGGCTCAGTTGGTTAAGCGTCCAACTCTTGGTTTCGGCTCAGGTCATGTTTTCCCAGTCCTGGGATCCAGCCCTGAACTTGAGCTCCGCACTCAGTGCAGAGTCTGCTTCAGATTCTTTCTCCCTCCCCTTTTGCCCCTCCCTGCTCATGCATGCTCTCTCAATCTCTCTCTCAAATAAATAAATAAAATCTTTTTTAAAAAAGATATTGAACATTAAATATAGTATTTTGCACCTTTCATATCTACTTCCACATATAGTGGATTAATTTATTTTACTCCTTCTTTTGTAATATTGTTGATTTACTGGAAATTTGTGCATCCTTAGGACATCTCTCAAATGTCATCATTTTGTAAATGTTTCATTATTTTTGGAACATCTTTCTAGATCCATGATTATGTTCATTCCTCTTCCCTGCAGATGGTGGAAAGCAGTATAATTCACTGAGAGTCAGAGACACATGTGATAGTAATGATTTCAAGCCTTTGTTTTAATTGTTTTAAGGCATGGTTTTAGACAAAAAAATGTATATAGTTTAATGTTTCATTTGACAAAAGTGCACAATTTTCTTCATGGTACACTTGTGTGGTTTTTAGAGTATGGATCAAAATTTATTTTCTGTATGTTTTCTTAAGAATAATAGCAATTTATAAGGGGAGGTTATAAAATTTACTTACAATTATTTAGAACATAGGTCAACTTAGAAAGGGTAAAATTTGGTGGAAAGTAAAGAAATAATTTATGCCACACGAGAGCTTTAAAAAAAGAGGTAGGTAATAACACTTTTAAAATCTGGTATATATTTGTTCCCATTTTATCTATTGAATAAATGTTACATTGTTGAAGACTAGTCATAATCACCAAAGAATTTCTCATTCTTGAAAATGGGACAGCTCTACTTTAAATAAAATAGTGTATGAGTGAATGAGAAGGTTTTAATTGTTACATGTATGCTGTGTAGTTCCTAGAATCATGAAGTTCAGGCCTTTAGCCCAATAATATAATGTATTCATTTTTGTGATTTTTGTAGATGGCTTTTTGGACAATATTTTTTCCATATACAGATTTGAGATATTGATTTTGACCTTTCAGTCAAAACAACAATTCTAAAATATTATAAGGTCATTTATTATTTATAATTCAGGTAAGGAAAAATGTATATAAAAGTACCTTATAGTTCATAAATATGCATATTGACACAAAGTGACATTATTATAATTTTATAATATCCTAGCTGTATATTTGCCATATATTTTACATTTTAAATATAGGAGCCAAGATACTGCCTATATTATGGGGTAATACACCTTGATAGTTAAATTAGGCACCAATTAATGAGATCTCTTCCTTATTTCTCCTCTGCCACATATAATGTGACTTGGTCTATAACCTTACTAATGATGCTGGTGGAATTGGTGCTGTAAGAGATCTTTTATCATTCCTTTACATAGAAGAATCATAAGAAAAATCAACTCAAAATAATAGCATTCTGTCTCCTGTTATTCTGCAATGTATTAAGACATGAGTGCCTCAAAATGCCATGTACCAGCCCTCCACTCTTATTTTTAGATTTAGCTCTTATTTAAAATGTTCCTGATTTTCTCTGACCAGGTGATATAGCATAAAAGAACATGTCTGATTTGTTCATTTTACACTTATCGAGCCCTACTCTGTGTTAGTCACTGTGCTGAGCCCTGGGTTTTCATTCAGAAGACACAGTCCTCAACTTCAAGGAATTTCTAAGCCATTTATTGGGCATACAGAGATGGGAACAAAATATAATACAATGTGGGCATTGTTGTAATGGAGGTCTGTAGTGTAGAGTGGGAGATTGGGAAGCGTGGAGTGTGTCTGGAATAAGTTTGTATAGGAAGGCAGGGTCCAGATTAGGAAGGGCCTTGAACACTGTATAAAGTAGTTCAGATTTTGTTCTATCATAAATATGAAGAAACTGAGAAGTTTTGAGATAAAGAATGACATCAGAATTTTTATGCTGGGAGAGATGAATTGGAGGGGATAGTGACTCGCAGCAGGAAACCCATAAAACTGCTTTAGTCTAGATTAGAGATATTTATGGCCTGATTTAAGATTAAGACCTTTTAGTTTTTGCTAATTGCCTCATTTTCTTGGTGCTCCTCACTTAAAAATCTGGAGAGAACTAATCTTGTTAGTCCAGTTCACTATTTGTTCATCATTTGTATCAGGTTATTTCATAGGCAGTTGAAGCTAACCCAATCTATAGCCTGGCTATTCACTTATGGAAGTGCCCTGAGTAATCTTGAAAAATGTATCCACTCTGGATTCCACTTTTGAATTTGGGTGAAATCTAAATGTTAGTGGATTAGGGAGTACATTGCAGGTGGGGTAAAAAGGTAAGGAGCTTGGCTCTGAAGGGAATAACAAACTAGTGGGGGAATACAGGATCAAAGAAATCAAGGAAAGGTTTTTGTTTTGTTTATTAAACTGGCAGATGTTCGAATACTGGAGTCAGTGGCTGGGAAATGGTTAAATAAAGAGAGTGTTTATTTTTTTTAATTGTTGAAGTAGTGTTAAGGTGGCAGACGATGGGATTCCAGAGCACAGGAAGATCGATTAGTCTTGTAAAGGAAGGAAGGATAACTCTCCCTCTGCAGTGGGGTTAAAGAAGAAAGGAGGAGTGAAGTGTAGGTAAGTTTAGAAGTGGGGAGAACCTCTTGTTAGCACACTTTATGAAATAAGCATCAAAGAGAACTGCTTGAGAAGTGAGGTAAAGATTTCCAAAAATTGCTGAGGAAAATTCAAATAGGAACCTAACAACTAAGGATATCATGAAGTGGTTTTTTTTCCTCCTGCAGTCCATATATTGGTTGGAAAAAAGTGGATGAGTGAACTAGTCCAGAGTTGAAACAGACTTAACTTGTGACTTGGTAGGAGTTAATGCTTATTTTATTTTTTCTGTTTGTTTCGTTCAACTGTTTTTTCATTCTGGTTTTCCATATTTTTCTTCTGTAGGTCTTGATGACTGTTTGCAGCAGTATATTAAGAACTTCGAGAGGGAGAAGATCAGTGGAGACCAGCTGCTGCGCATTACACATCAGGAGCTAGAAGATCTGGGGGTCAGCCGCATTGGCCATCAGGAATTGATCTTGGAAGCAGTTGACCTTCTGTGTGCACTGGTAAGGACATTAACTGGTAGGAAGGGAAACTTGTATTACTTCGTTTAAATTTTTTTCCTTTCTTAGTTTCTTTCCTTCTTTTTCTTCTCTTTTTAAAAATAATTTAAGTGTAAGTAGGAAAAACTCCCCTAATTCTCAACTAACTGGAAGTGGTATTTTCCTCCTTTATTAAATTTGGTATGGTATATAGTGCCAAATTAAAAATTAAAGACGCTTATAACTCAACTGGTGACATTACATTTAGTTACTTCAGAAACTTGTGTTAGAGTTTTCACAGCATCATTTGGGATATACAATTGTATACAATCAGTTAAAAAGTCCATTCCCTTCTAAAAGTTTTGATTTAATAACATAAATATTAAGAAATCCTATTTTAGAAAAATCATCCTTAAAATAATCAAATTATTTGAATGTTCTAAATGTATACATCCAATAAAAATTGAATATTGTACATTATATGGTTACTTTTGTCAACATACAAGAGAAATAAGTGTCAAAATAATCCTGTAAGATTCTGATAATACATTAAATATTCTGAAAGGAACATAGTTTTTTTTTTCCCTGTTAGGTAAGATGACACCTGATTGGTTTTAACTTCTTACAGATATTTGTAAGGGGGCTAGAGCTACAATGAGATAAAAACATCAGTCTTGTAATATAATAATCTGTGATTTAATTTTGGCTCAGTTACTGACACTTGTGGGCAAGTAATTTCATCATAACCTTGGTTTATTTATTTATTTTTATTATTTTTATTTTTTTAAGATTTATTTTATTTATTCGAGAGAGAGAGGAGGGGGGCAGAAGGAGAGGGAGAGAAGTAAACTCCCCACTGAGCATGAGCCTGATGCAGGGCTCAATCTCACAACCCTGAGATCATGATCTGAGCTGAAATCAAGAGTCAGATGCTTAACTGACTGAGCCACCCAGTAGCCCCACTTTGATTTTTTTTTTTTAAGATTTTATTTATTTATTTGAGAGAGAGAGAATGAGAGACAGAGAGCATGAGAGGGAGGAGGGTCAGAGGGAGAAGCAGACTCCCCGCCAAGCAGGGAGCCCGATGCGGGACTCGATCCCGGACTCCAGGATCATGACCTGAGCCGAAGGCAGTTGCTTAACCAATTGAGCCACCCAGGCGCCCCCCACTTTGATTTTTTAATATAAAATGGAGATAATAACAATTGCCTCCTGGAGGTGTTGTGAAAAGCAAATGAGATGGTATTTGTGTGGTGCCTGATTCAGTGCCTGGCACATAGTAGGTATTCAATAAGTAGTTAACCATTAAGATGATGATAATTAACAAGAAATGAGTAGATAATTATATATAATTCAAGAATCAATTAATATACTCAGAACTTGTGTGTCAGATGTAAGATGTAGTTCCTGCCCTCTTGGAAAGCCTATGGAGGAGGGAGTGACACAGAAATAATCACAATACTGTAGTATAATTACTAAAATAAAAGTATGAACTAAGTATCATGGGGACACAGAAGAGAAAATAACTAGCTTTGACTATGACAGATGGGTTCATATTGCAAAAGAGGTGATATTTAAGGAGCCTAGAGGAGGATGAGCATGTGTTGGGAAGAACAAGAGGGAAGGTAGATAAAACAACCCATACACAGGCACACAAAATAAAGAGCATGCCTGGTGGGTTTGAACAATGGTTAGCTATTTTACATGACAAAAATACATGGGAAACAGTGGCAGAAAATTAGGCTTTAATTTTTTTTTTATTATGTAATGTTAGTCACCATACATTACATCATTAGTTTTTGATGTAGTGTTCCATGATTCATTGTTTGCATATAAAAATTCGGCTTTAAAAGAGAATAGGCCCAGACTATATAAAGTACCCAAACATGATAAGAGATCTGTATTTTCGAGTGTGGATATTGGAGAACCATGCAGGAATGATCAAATACTTGTTTTAAAATGGTAACTACTGGTAGTAAAAAGGAGGGAATGGAGTGAGTATAATCTGAAGACCAGACGAACAATTCAGAAATGTTTTATTTTTTTTTAAGATTTTATCTATTTATTAGAGAGAGAGAGTAGGGAGAGAGAGAGAGCACTAGATGGGGGAGGGTCAGAGGGAGAAGCTAACTCCCTGCTGAGCGGGGAGCCTGATGCAGGGCTCAATCCTGGGACTCCAGGATCATAACCTAAGCCAAAGGCAGACACTTAACTGACTGAGCCACCCAGGCGCCCCAGAATGTTTTAAATGATCTACTTAGGCTGTGAGTAGGGCTTGAACTAAGGTTGAACAGGAATAGAGAAGATCTGATGAATATGAGGGGTGAGATAAAGGGAGGAGTTGAAAAAGATTCCATGTTTTCTAGCTGCAGACATAGAGTAGATAATTTTGTAGTAATGAAGATGGGCAATAGTAGCAAGAATAGATTTAAGTGGGAATATAAATTGAGTTTTAGATTCATTGAATTTGAGGCATCTCTGAGTTATCCAGAAAGAGATACTCATCAAAGGGTTGAACATATGAATTTGGAGCTTGAGAAGTAGCTGAAGATAGAGATTTCGGAGTCTCCAGGATATAAGGATTGAATCCATAGAGAGAGAGATCACCCACGGAGGGACTCCCCTCCACAGTGGGGCTGGGAAGGAAGAAGAGACTACAGAAGAGGCTTATGGAGTAGTCAGAGAAATGTGAAGACAGCTTCAAAAGCGTTGTCACAAAAGCAGTGGGGAGTGTTATTTTCATTAAGGAACATCAGTAATATCATCAAATTTCACTAAAAGCCAATAGGATAGGCAAGGAAAAACAACCGGATTGAGGGGCACCTGGATGGATCACTTGGTAGAGGATGCAACTCTTGATCCTCAGGGTCATGAGTTCAAGCCCTATGTTGGGTGTGGAGCCTACTTAAAAAATAATAGAGGGGCACCTGGGTGGCTTAGATGATTAAGCATCAGCCTTCTGCTCAGGTCATGATCTCCAAGTCCTGGGATCGAGCCCCACATCTGGCTCCCTGCTCAGTGGGGAGCCTGCTTCTCCTTCTGCCTCTTCCCCTGCTTGTACTTTCTCTCTCTCTCAAATGAATAAATAAAATCTTAGAAAAATAAAATAAAAAATAAACCTGACTGAAAGCACTTTCTAAAGAAGAGTACAATCTGAAACCAGATTGATTATTACCTCCCATTTACACATCTCAGTCTTTTTTTTTTTTTTTAAGATTTTATTTATTTATTTGACAGAGACACAGCGAGAGAGGGAACACAGCAGGGGGAGTGGGAGAGGGAGAAGCAGGCTTCCCACTGAGCAGGGAGCCCAATGCGGGGCTCGATCCCAGGACCTGGGATCATGACCTGAGCTGAAGGCAGGCGCCCAACGACTGAGCCACCCAGGCGCCCCTACACATCTCAGTCTTAACCTTAATTGTCATTTCCTCAAAAAAACATTCTCTGATTATTCCCTCACCATTGGTGGAGGTTAGCCCCTTACTGTTATTCTTTTAACCCTCATCCCATTTTGTAATGACATATTTATATGTGTATTTATCAGTTTAATGTCTGTTTCTTCTGCTAGACTGTAAGCTATGTGGGAAAAGTAACTATGCTTATTAAATACCTAGTGTGTATCACAGATGCCTGGCAATAATGGATGCTGAATAAATACTTTTTGAAAGTGGTATTGTAAGAGTCTTGACATGTTTTTCACATGATAGTTTGGGGATCTTCTTATTTCCCTACTCTGAGATCAGAGAAATCAGCTTAGATTAGAACATGCACTTACACTCTATCCCTTATCATAATCAGATCACCGAAATCATGCCTGATATAAAAGATAATACTCAAGGTAAGGTAGGCGTCCTCAGTGTTTTTGCATACTGGTCTCCAAATCTGAGTCAGTGTGGCCATGAAGGTGCAACAGAAGTGGCTTGGAGATGGGGGCATGATCTAGGAGTCCTCTATTTGCCACATTTTTTTTAAGAGAGGAGAGAGTGGGAAGGGGCAGAGGGAGAGAGAGAATCTTAAGCAGACTCCAAGCCCAGCACAGATCCTGATGCAGGGCTCCATCTCACAACCCTGAGATCATGACCTGAGCTGAAATCAAGAGTTGAATGCTTAACCGACTGAGCCACCCAGGTGCCCCTATTTGCCACATCTTTTATAACAGTAAATAGTTGGGTGTGTCAGAGTTTGAAGTTCAGGATGTTATGTCTCATAAGCAGGACTCTTCAGAGATAAACCACTTAAGTGCTGGACTTAGAGCTGTCAGTTTGAAGAAGGAAATAAGATTAATGATTACAGTGCTACCTACAAATAGTCTGAACCTCCAGGCTTTGGAGCTTGGCCCATGAACAATCTCTGCTGACCTAAACTTAGAAAGATGGCATGAGAGATAGATGTCTAGACCATTTCAGTGTTCTCACATAGAGCTGTGTAAGTCTCTTTGTATGCTGAGTTTTAATTCCTCCACAGTTCTTGGTTTAAGCTCCATAGTGTTGCATTGTTTTCTTGGGAAAAATACACATTAAAATCATTCTTTCTGTGTTTATTCAGCAATAAATTGGTCATATTCCCCAAAGAGGCCAAATATTAAATTTCCCTTCTACCACTTCCTAATGACTATACATCAGCAAGTTAGAAGTGCAGATATCTTCCATTTTATGCAATGCATATTTTCCTGTGAATATCAAGTGAATTTCTGAGCAATGAATTCTGATTTACTTCTACATACCATTATAAAATTAGGTGGTGAGATCCTTCATCAGCAAGCTGAGTTGACTAGACCAGGAGGTGTGCTGTTAGGAATGGGGGATTGTGTATTATCTCTTTGAAACTTTTTTTTTTTAAAGATTTTATTTATTTATTTGACAGAGAGAGAGACAGCGAGAGAGGGAACACAAGCAGGGGGAGTGGGAGAGGGAGAAGCAGGCTTCCCACTGAGCAGGGAGCCCGATGTGGGGCTCGATCCCAGGACCCTGAGATCATGACCTGAGCCGAAGGCAGTCGCTTAACCAACCGAGCCACCCAGGCGC